GAAGCAACAGGTCAGTCTGAGATACAGCGTTATTTGTCCAAGTTTGAATAGTCGCATAATGCTGCTGCTTCACATAATGCTGCTCTTTGTGGTATCTGCTGCTCCTGCTGTTCCCCATTGACTAGCACTGTAAATAGAATTGAATAAAAAAGATGTTTGTAAGATGTATGTTATATGTTGATGAGATTCTGGTGAGATATGTGTAAGATATTAGTAACATGTTTGTAAGATGTCGGTAAGATGTTTGTAAGATGTTTGCAAGATGTTTGTAGGGTGTTGGTAAGATGTATATAAGTTCTTGGTAGGATGTTGACAAGATGTTGGTAAGGTGTCTGTAAAATGTTGGTAAGACACTGGTAAGATGTTGGAAAGATGTTGTTAAGATGTTTGTAAGATGTTTATAAGATGTTTGTAGGTTGTTTTAAGATGTTAACGTGTTGGTAAGATGTTAGTAAGATGCTGGTAAGATGTTGGTAGGATGTTGGTAAGGTGTTGGCTAGATGTTTGTAAGATGTTGGTAAGGTGTTGGCTAGATGTTTGTAAGATGTTGGTAAAGTGTTGGCTAGATGTTTGTAAGATGTTGGTAAGATGTTGGTAAGGTGTTGGTAGGATGTTGGCAAGATGTTGGTAAGATGTTTGTAAGCTGTTGGTAAGATGTTGGTAAGATGTGTTGGTAGGATGTCGGTAACATGATAGAACAGGCTAGTTGTTGCTCATTTGTAGATCACAGTGAACACGAAGACTTGGAAACTGAATGAATTGGGGTAAATGATGCTTTTATTGCCACTCTATGGTCAAGAATGAACAAAGTTACTTTTCAGTTTCCACAGTTGGTTGCAGCTTTTTATAGGGACATCAGTGTTTTGGAGCTGTTTAGTTTACCTGCATACACTTCAGAACAGTTCAGGTCACAGCTCAACCACAAGTCTTCATACACCTCCTATGATCAGCTCTGGAACTGAGCGTTGAGTCTGTCTGATACAAGAACAATAATAATAATTGATTAGATTTATATTGCACTTTTCTTACTCAAGGAGTAACTCAAAGCGCATGCAATCGATTGTCAATTATTCATTCACACACATTCATTCCGGTGGTGCGGCCCCTCCAACCACCACCTCAGACAATCCATTCATACGCATACACAGCAGGCAAGGTGGGTGAAGTGTCTTGCCTCAGGACACAACAACCATGACACAGGTTATGGAATCGAATCGAACCGCTGACCTTCCGATCATTGACCGACTCGCTTTACCCCCTGAGCCACATCATTCAGACAAAAACAGTTTCATACAACAAATGAAAGACTTCATACAGACTTATGTTGAATCTGAGCAGGTGTAGATAAACTAACCTGCTGCACTCAACCATTCACACCTTCATCTCAGCACTTCAACATTCATGCTGTCATTCTTGAACCCCACTGACAGCAGAGAAAACGTGTGTGTGTGTGTGTGTGTGTGCGCGCGCGTGTGTATGTGTGTGTGTGTGTGTGTGTGTGTGTGTGTGTGTGTGTCTTGCTGTATTTAGCTGCCTGTAGCCTAATATTTGTGGGAACCAGGAGGGTCATTGAGCTGGTGGACAACCTGTAACAGACAGACAGACAGACAGACAGACAGACAGACAAACAGACAGAGAAATATACAAACAAATAGGCAAATATACAGACAGACAGTCAGACAAATTACAGACGAGCAAATAGTTCCATTGATTATCAGCACTAAACTTTCAGACGTTATTGATCCTCATCAGTGACAGATGGCATGTAGCACAGTGCTGCACTGTAGCAGATTGAAAGACCCCATGTTGGATTGGAACATCTTGTAACATGTCACGTGTTGTTGAAACATGGAACACGTTGTAACATGTATCGTGTTGTTGTAACATGTAATTTGTTGTAACATGGAACATGTAACGTGTTGTAACATGTCACATGTTGCTGCAGCATGGAGCATGTTCTGACATGGACATTGATACTGAGGTGGATTAAAAGTGACTGAACAGGCTGCAGGAATGTAATGCGCATCAGATAACTGTGTAATCTTCAGAAAAATGAGACTCTGACAGATCACCACAGATGTTCTGAGTTGTGTAGACGGCAGCAGTGGACTTCATGTTGAAGGCCTGGTTCAGGACCGAAGGAAAGAGACGCAGCTGAGCGTAAACAAGACATTTAAAAACCAACTGCTCACATGGTTCACTGTGTCCAAATCAACGAGTCGCACAAAACATCTGACTGTCGACTGCCTCAATATCATTCAGACTTTCTCAGTAGCAGTTGTTGTCGTGAGCTGTGTTCTACCTGGACAGTAGTGAAGAATGTTTTCATTCTGATCAATGAATCACAAACAGCTGATCAGCCAGTCAGATCATCATCTTAATCAGGAGCTCAACAAACATAATTCAAACATCACTTTTACAAACTTGGTGGGAATGAAGCTGCTCAACCCTCTGAGCTTCCTGTTTCTGGCTCATTTTTCACACAAATTAGAAAAAAGCCAATTATTTTTACAAAAATTAAAAAAATAAAATAAAATTGAGTCATGCTGCACTAATTTTATTGATCCAGTATGTCTGATTTTTGCTCTCTATGTCTCCTGTCGTCTCCTCTCTGCTCTGCGGAAGCACTGCCTGCAGTGCACCTGAAAACTCTGTGAGAAATCAGGAAAGGAAAGGAGGAGGAGAGGAGGAGGAGGAGGAGGAGGGGGGGAGGACAGGAAGACAGGAGGTCGGCGGTTGATCAGAGGGAGGTGAGGAGGGGCTGAAAGAAAATCATGTTGGAACACAGAGAGGAATGAAGTGTGTGTGTCACTGTGTGTGTCAGTGTGTGTCAGTGTGTGTGTGTTGGAATGAGCTGGGTCATCGTACTCTCTGTAATTTTACACCAGAGGGTCAAACTGATGACTCCCAGCAGCTGCTGCTGCCATGGCAACGATGGGTGGGGTCAACCCTGGCAACGAAGACACGAGGAGGGGTGTTAGTGTGTGTGTGTGTGTGTTACTGTGTGTGTGTTACTGTGTGTGTGTCAGGCTGAATCAGTTGTAAATTTTGAGGTTTGTTTTGTCTGCTGGTTCTAACATGTGATCCAAGCTGCTGAACGTAGAGACCAACAGGTACAAAGCATGTTAGTGTTGGAGTCAAGAAGAAACAGAACTTAAACTCATATTAGAACCAGATGAACCGACATGTTCACGGCTTCGGTCTTGTTCTGCCACCAGTGACCTGAGACCACCTGCTCACCTGTTCCTCATTCACCAAGCAGCTGTCAGTATTTAAACCAGCCTCCTCCATCTGATCTCTGCCACATTGTCTGGTTCAACATGTGGCCTTTGTTGTGGTGTTTTGTAGGGTTGTGTTTGTTCTCCTTCTGCTGTCTGGTCGGTTAAGTCTGGTGAACTTCGCATTCTTGACATTTTAGCAAGTCGGAATTTAAAAGACTTTGGGAATCAGTGGAGATCGTCACGAGACCTGACAGGAAGTCACCTTTGCCGGGTGTCCAGAGGCGCTATCTCCAGTCTTACTTCTCAACAATCTTTAGATATTGGTGCTTTCTGGGAACATTTTTTGGTTGTTTTGTTCCTGAGAAACACATCCAGCTGACAACAATGTCTTGAAACCAGCAGTAGAACTCACTTCCACTGTGATGAACTGTGAGCGGAAACGTGGCGTCTGGTTTACAGCTATTTAGACCGTCATGGTTCAGATGATGCTTTACTGCCAGGAAGAGCTCAGTTTACCAACATTTTGAGGCATGCAGAACTTATGGTCAGCTGTGTTTTATCACATCTTTCCATGCAGAAATTTCAACAGCTGGATAATAAACTGCTGATACAAACATGAATCATTAGGAAGGAAGTTAGTCTGTTTATAGCATTTCAAATGTAAAACAAACTGAAGAGAACTGAGGAAGCTGGTGATAATGACCAGTCAACTACACAAGCTCTGTTCTACAAGGGCTTTAACAACACTGGCATGTCTTTAATTTGAAATATTACTGTTGGTTTGTTCTTGACTCTTCACAGAACTTGTTTTCTGCACAGACTGTGCCTGTTTGAAGTTGCAGAAACAGTGAAGTTCTTCTTTTATCGGGCTATTTTAGAGAGCGTTACCAGCTACGGAAACCTTTGTGTCACCAAAACCAAAGTTCTGACTGTGAGGAAAATCATCAGGCAGAAACATTCATTTAACCTTTAGTTAGTTTTATTGAAACAAGTCAGTAGAGTCCATTGAGTTCCATCCAATGTTGTGTGATCTGAATCAGGCAGAACTCCAACAGTTCAACCTGAATCACTGAAACCTGAATCATCGAAACCTGAATCACTGAAACCTGAATCATCGAAACTTGAATCACTGAAACCTGAATCACTGAAACCTGAATCATCGAAACTTGAATCACTGAAACCTACATGAGTCACTGCTGCTTACCGAAACCAAAACCGACCAATGCCTCAGGAAGAGCTTCATTATGTGCAATTTAAATCCTCTGTAACTTCTCCTGATGATGTAGCTTCTCCCGATTTCACTCCTCCTGAAGTACAAGAGGATTTATCAGGACTTGACATGCTTGCCGAGAACCTCAGTTCATCGTGATCTCTATCTGAGGCTCCACCTCCTTTGTCACTTTGCATCATTGTGATCACCGTAACATCATCATGATGCGATGCCACATCGTGATGATGTCATGGTGATGCACAGGTTGAGGTGTTTCAGGTGCAGTACATGGGAGTTTGTCCAAGCATCTGAATGTATCCTGGGGTTGACCTGTGGCAGACTCTTCTGAACTGGCTGTTATCTTCGGCATCGACTCTGTGACGTGTTCTCATCCTTGTTGTTCTGCGTTTTTCTTTAAAATTGTTTCAGTGTTTTCTTTCTTACTTCGCACTCTGATTGTCTGTATGACACCATCGTCCTTGTTTCTGATGAAGAGATTGGTCAGAGAGGCGGACAAGACCTTTGCATAATTCTGTTGGAACACCTGACACTCTTCTTTCTACTTGCAGGAGGCTGCTACTAGGCAACAGGGAATCGGGCGGTGCCGCATGATGCCAAGATGGCCCCTCTGCTGCCCCCTGTTGGTACAGAGGTCTTCAGACTCTTTACGCCGGCCTCATTGGAGGAAATCCAACGGCGATATGAAATCGAAGAGAAGGAACGACAGAGGAGGAAAGAGAAGAACATTGAGGTACAAAACATACTGATCAGCTGTCAATAACCTGTAATCGCTGAAAACTAATCAATACACTGTCCAGAATGTGCTGGTTGATGATAATCTCAATAGTTTGATGCTGATTGACCATCTCTGTGAGTGACAGATAGCAGAGGAGGATCTTCCAAAACCTGCCAGTGACCTGGAGGCCGGGAAGCCCCTCCCTTTTATCTACGGAGATCCGCCCCCTGAGTTTCTCAACACCCCATTGGAGGAGCTGGATCCCTACTACCAATCACACCAGGTCTCTCTTTAATAATAATAATTTGACTGTTCCCTGTCGCACTGATCAATATCACTGAAATTAGCAGTAAAATGTTGGAATGTTTCAGTGACATCAGGTCTCAACATCAGACGGTTTATTGTATTTTATGATCAGATCAGCAGAACAGCGTTCATGAGAATTTACAGTTTAAATTCACTTTTAGTTCAACTCACAACATGCTCTGTCTGTCTCTCTGCAGACTTTCATCGTCCTCAGTAAAGGAAACGTCATCTACAGATTTAATGCTGAACCTGCCTGTTACCTGCTGACTCCCTTCAACCCACTGAGGAGATTCGCCATCAAGATCCTCATTCATTCATATCCTTTTATATGACATGGCAGTATAGTTTTCAGTGTATTTACTCTGACTTCAGTGTACTCTGTAGTGTATTTGTTATGACATCACAGTGTACCTGAGCTTCATTTCAGGTGTTTGGCTCAGAGTTCAAATCAGGAAGCACATGACACATTTGAACCAATCAGAACTCAGAGCTGCTTGTCCTCAGTAGGTCAAATACAAAAACATGCTAATCAGTTAGCATACCAGCAGGTGTAACAGGATACCTCCTCGACTGATCACTGAAATTTTACCGACAATCGATCCGCTAATTGATATTTGTTTCTTAAAACCAAAACTTTATTCAGCTTATTCATCATGGTGACAATTCTGACCAACTGTGTGTTCATGACAATGAGTGATCCTCCGCCGTGGAGCAAGACGGTCGAGTGAGTCCACACACATAGACACGCTACAGTACACTACAATATACTACACAATACTACGCTACAATACAGAGCATTACATTATAATACAAAATAATGCACTACAACACACAATAATACACAACAATAAACTACAATACACTGTCTGCTGTACTTTACTATTTCTGTGTCTCAGTGGATGTTTCTGTTGTTCTACAGATACGTGTTCACAGGAATCTACACGTTTGAGGCAACAGTCAAAGTTCTGTCCCGAGGATTCTGTCGCGGAGATTTCACCTTCCTCAGAGACCCCTGGAACTGGCTGGACTTCATGGTCATCAGCATGGCGTAATGATCAATAACACACCTGAGAGACACTGATCACAGATTCTAATAGTCAATAACACACTTAAGTACAATGTGTTGATCCTGCAGCGTACAGTTTATAAAACATTTTTTTGTTTCAGAATGTTTTGATTGATTCCAACTGGACTGAGCAGAACTGAGCAGCAGACAATTTGAACTGAACACATTGCGTATTTGGGTTAATTAGGGTTAGGATTGGTTTAAGAGTAGTTACATAGTTACATACATAAGGTTGATTAGGATCAATTACATGTTTGAGTTAGGGTTAGTTAAGGTTGATTAGGATTAGTTACATGCTTTAGTGAGGGTTAGTTCAGGTTAGTTAGGGTTACTTACATGTTTGAGTTAGTTTATTAAGGATTAGCTGCATGTCTGAGCTATGGTTGGTTAAGGTTAGTTAGGGTTAGTTGCATGTTTGGTTTTAGCTAGGGTTAGTTACATGTTTGAGTTAAAGTTAGTAAGGATGAGTTACATGGTTGAGTTTCGATTAGTCAAGGTTGGTTAGGATTAGTTATATGTTTGAGGTAGGTTAGTTAGGGTTAGCTACGTGTTTGAATTAGGATTAGTTTAGGTTAGTCAGGGTTAGCTACATGTATGAATTATGGTTAGTAAAGATCAGCTACCTGTTTGAGTTAGGATTGGTAATGGTTAGTTAGGATTTGCTACCTATTATTGTTGGTTAACTGTAGTTAGACTTGGTTACATGTTTGGTTTTTTCGTCAGGGTTAGTTTAAATGTTTGAGTTAAGATTAGCTAAGGTTGATGATGACAACGATGATGATGACGACGATGATGATGATTGTGATGAAGGTTCATGTGTGTCTCTGTTTCAGGTATCTGACAGAGTTTGTCGATTTGGGAAATGTTTCTGCTTTGAGGACATTCAGAGTTCTTCGAGCCCTGAAGACCATCACTGTCATCCCCGGTGAGTGTGTGTCTGTTGTGATTTAGTGTAAAGTTTAGTTATTCAGTCTGTCCATGTGGATGTTTTAAAGCTTTAAACACCTGATTGGCTGTGAGTCTGTAACACCCGCCCCCTCTGCAGGTTTAAAGACGATTGTTGGAGCTCTCATCCAGTCGGTGAAGAAGCTGGCTGACGTCATGATCCTGACGGTGTTCTGCCTCAGTGTCTTTGCTCTGATTGGTCTGCAGCTGTTTATGGGAAACCTGAGGCAAAAATGCGTCCTGATGCCGCCACACTTATTTAGCAACCACACGTCAGACCTGGAGACAGGTTTCCTTTCCAACGACACCCAAGGCAACAACACAGGAAACGGTGACTTGGATTACTACGAGTACATCAACAATGCAGGTAGGACAACCTCAAGGTATCCAGCAAATACTGTTCTTTTGTTTTCAAGCATTTTCATCGTCCATCTGAGATGCTAACTTACATTGTCTCTCTGTCTTTCTGTGTGTCTGTCAGAAAACTATTACTACCTGCCTGGTCAGCTTGATGCTCTGCTGTGTGGAAACAGCTCTGATGCCGGGTAGGTTCAAATAATAATAATAATAATAATAATAATAATAATAATAATAATAATTTAAAAAATCTGATGATAATGATGTGTTCAGGGTCTGTCCGGATGGTTACATCTGTCTGAAGACGGGAAGAAACCCAAACTATGGCTACACCAGCTACGACTCTTTTGGTTGGGCGTTCTTGGCTCTGTTCAGACTGATGACCCAGGACTTCTGGGAAAACCTATTCCAACTGGTCAGTAATCGACTGGTTCCAGTACAGACCGGACCCTTTGTTTATAACACCAAAATGCAATCAGTGACTCAAACCAAGTAGAGAAGGTTTTTTTCAGATGAACTCAGGTAATCTCAGTATAAATGATTCTGGAGTTTAGAGGCAGCAGAATCTCAGCCTTTCTCCATCTGAGCTCCCAGCATGTTCAGCTGGTGCAGCTCTTTAGGTTCGTACAGGATCAGGTGCTGAGCTTTTTTTTGTTGGATTGTAACCTCGACCGGTAGGCAGCGGAAAGAGGCTAAAACTGCAGTCTGAGTGTTTAGTGTTTGTCAGAAGAAGCTGCAGCTGAAGCAGGAGCTTCGTGAGCTACAGTCATCCAGTCACACATTTACCAAAGCTTAGCTGGTTAGATTAAAATCCACCTGAAGTTTGAAATATTTCATAGCTGGAAGCAGCACAAGTTTGTTATTAGAGGATGGAAATCCAAAGAGAAGCCAAGTGTGGCAGATAAACGACAAAGCAGTCACATCACACAGACTCCACACAGATGTTCTTCAGACACATACAGTTGTTACAAAGTCCCAAAAAGGCATAATTGAAACTAAATGGGGTCCCACCTGTCTGTCTCTCTGCAGACTCTGCGAGCGGCGGGTAAAACCTACATGATCTTCTTCGTGGTCGTCATCTTCCTCGGGTCCTTCTATCTCATCAACCTCATCCTGGCAGTGGTTGCCATGGCGTACGCCGAGCAGAACGAGGCCACCATCGCCGAGGCCAAACAGAAGGAGGAGGAGTACGCTCAGATCCTGGAGGCGCTAAAGAGGAGAGAGGAGGAGGTCTGATGTGATGCATGAAAACCTACAAGGACTCACCTCGACACACGGCTGAACGTTTGTTTTCTGTTGTTACAGCAGGCAGCCAACAAGGCAGAGCTCGCAGAGAAACAAGACTCGACCCAACAGAAGAACTCAACTGCAGATATCAATAGCCCCGACCAAGAACACACAACCATGGACGGTACACACGGTACTGCAGTATTCTGCATCGCATCATTAGTATTATATTAGTCAGTATTATCAGCTGTCAACTGTGTGATTGTCTGTTTTTCTTTTAACCAATCACAGTCGCTGAAGGACGGTGAAATTGTTTTCGTGGAACATTTGCGTGCAGGAAGACGAGAATGTGATTACTATTAAACAGACTAGCAGGGCTGCCTTACTGCACAATCCAAATACTCAGCAAAACTTCAAAACTTCAGTTCTGTAATCAGTGTTGCTGCTGCTGGTTGCTGCAGGCACAGCATCCAAACATTCCACCATTGATGTCAATGTAGAAAAAAGTGTTGTATTTTTAGGTTCATAGCCCCACTGTTCTGCTGTGTTTCAGACTTTGAGGATGACCAGAGGCCGTGTCCTCCATGCTGGTATGCATTTTCTAACATTTTCCTGAAGTGGGACTGTTGTGGATGCTGGCGACAGGTCAAACGGTGGCTCTACATCTTCGTCATGGACCCATTCGTTGACCTCGGCATCACCATCTGCATCGTCCTCAACACCGTCTTCATGGCCATGGAGCATTATCCGATGACAGAGCAGTTCGAGGAGCTGCTGAGTGTCGGGAATCTGGTCAGTGATGAGAGAGAGTCGGTAAAACCAGGGGAATCTTTATAAACTCTGCTCAGTCTGAGGTCAAGGTGACAACACCTCCACCTGCTGGTGACATTAATAGGCCTACTGACAGTAGAAATCCACAGACAGGTCGCTAAGCAGATAAACCAATGAAATGAAAACCTCAAGCCAAGTCAAACTCAGAGTGGACTTTAAAATAACCTTTAAACTGAAATGCAAAGGCATCTCTTAAAAAACAAACAGTGAGTGTTGTACTTTCTATAGGTAAGGCGAGCACACACCTGTACCAGTGCCAGTTTGAGATCAAATATCCTGTCAGCTTTATCCTGATTAGATAATCCGGTCAACATTCAGAGTTTGTTTCTCTGCCTGTGTTATATTTAAGAGAACCCAAGAAGACTGACCTCTAACCTTTATCGTCTAACCTCAGAACTTTGTCCTCTATTCTCTAACCTCTGACCTGTGTTTTCTACTCTCTGCCCTCTAACCACTAACCTCTACCTTTCTAACCCCTGACCTCTAACCTCTGAACTTTATCCTCTACCCTCTGACCCATCAGGTCTTCACAGGGATCTTTACAGCTGAGATGGTCCTCAAACTTCTGGCCATGGATCCATATTACTACTTCCAGGTCAGACTTTGCTAGTGAGCAGCTCATTGATCACTGCTAAAAGCTGTTCCCATGGTAACATGTGCCTGTTGTCATGTTTGCAGGTGGGTTGGAACATCTTTGACAGCATCATCGTCACTATGAGTCTAGTCGAGCTGGGACTGGCTAATGTCCAGGGCCTCTCTGTGCTGCGCTCATTCCGATTGGTCAGTGCATCATCATTATCATCATCACAAATTAACAAACCCTGTTGTGAAACTAGTTTATTTGACAGTTTACCTATCCCTTTACCCATCTACCTGTCTGTCCCTTCACCTGTCTACCTGCCTCTGTCCTCGCCTGTCTCATGCCTAGATGCGAGTGTTTAAGCTGGCCAAGTCGTGGCCAACCCTCAACATGTTGATAAAGATCATCGGGAACTCGGTGGGAGCCCTGGGGAACCTGACTCTGGTTCTTGCCATCATCGTCTTCATCTTCGCCGTTGTCGGCATGCAGCTGTTTGGGAAGAGCTACAAAGATTGCGTCTGTCGTATTGCAGAGGATTGCGAGCTTCCTCGCTGGCACATGCATGATTTCTTTCACGCTTTCCTCATTATCTTCAGGGTCCTGTGTGGCGAGTGGATTGAAACCATGTGGGACTGCATGGAGGTCGCAGGTCAGACAATGTGTCTGATTGTCTTCATGATGGTCATGGTTATTGGAAACCTGGTGGTGAGTCTCTGCAGCTAGACAGTTTCTGACATGGGTCTGGTTCAGTAAATCACATCCTCCAGAGTCCAGCAGGACAGTTAAGGCTACAAACAGATCCCAGTCTGAGGTCAGGGGTTTGGGGTCTGCCTTGAATATAGTTGACTGTTCCCAGTCACCAGTAACACAAGTCTGACATTTCAAAACCAATAAAAATACACGTCCTAGATTTGTTCTGGTCTTGTTCAGGTCCTGAAGTTGTTCCTAATCTTGTTTCAGGTCCTGAATCTGTTCCTGGCCTTGTTGCTGAGCTCATTCAGTGGTGATAATCTGGCAGCTCCAGAAGAGGAAGGAGAAAACAATTTGCAGATTGCCATAAACCGGATCAACCGGGCAGTGGCCTGGATCAAGGCCTGGATCCTGGACCACATACGGATTCTACTAGGAAAGAAGACCCATGTCACCCCAGACGGCACCGGTGGGGACCAGAGTTGGGCTATAAATATACAAGAAGAGTAGTTGTGTATGAGTTAGATCTTTTTGAATTTTAAAATTTCACTACTGTTTTCAGTTGCCTGTGAGGAAGACGACATGACAACGAAGGAGGTTTTAGCTTTGACCTTTGTTACCTCCGAGCAGCCGGCGTCACAAGTCATAGCCTCCAGTAACCATGACAGCCTGACCAGCAACTACCATAACATCGCTTCCCTGAGGGTCCCCATCGCAGAGGCCGAGTCTGATTTCGAAAATCCTGAAACTGAAGATGAGGACGATGAGGAGGATGAAGAGGATGAGGAGGGTGAAGAGGAGGAGGAGAATAAAGAGGATGAGGAGAATAAAGACGATGAGGAGAAGCGTTCTCAAGTAAACCTTCTTCTGTTCAACCTCAAACTGTAGCATCTGAAGTTTCTGCACTTGTAAACACAGCAAACATGAATCTTGTAAACATGAGCCTGTCTGAAATATTGTGTGTTCTTAGTATCAAGTGTCATTTGGTGTAAAGTCTGCGGTGTTTGTTCAGGGTGATGTGTCATCGGTCTGCAGCACCGTACAGAAACTTCCTGAAGTTCAGGAGGACGAAGACGATGGCGACGACGACACAAACTCACCTGAAGACTGCTGCACTGAGAGTAAGACCTCTTCCAACAGGTCAATCCCGTGTGCACTGAAACATCTTTGGCTGATACGGATACTGTTTGTGTGTTCATATTTCAGAGTGCTACAGTCGCTGTCCCACCCTGGACATAGACACGTCCCAGGGCAGAGGGAAGATCTGGTCTAACTTCAGGAGAACTTGTTTCTCCATTGTAGAACACAACTACTTTGAGACGTTCATCATCTTCATGATCCTGCTGAGCAGTGGAGCTCTGGTAAACACAGTGAAGCACTATTATAGATTACTGATTTATACCTGATCTGTTTTAACTCTAAACCTGCTGGAATGGCTTTTTCTTTTCTTTTCTTTTTTTTTTAACATCTCGTCATTTTTATTTTAAAATTTTCGCTTCAAGGCACGTTGTAATGTTTGTGTTTAAATGTGCTCCATACGTCTGGAAGCTGCTCAGTTTTGTCAGTGCTGGTTGGTTTGAATTGATCGTGTGACTGAGCAGATCAGAACTGATTGATTCACAGAGATGTGTGCAGAGTGAGTACTAACCTCTGGAGACAACATGGCTGGGATGGTTAACAGTGGACTACAAACATGATGGGCATTGTGACTACTAACATGGCTGCTACATGTTACGCAGGTGAGATTTATCAGATCGATTAACGCTGTGAACTGAGGAGCATGGCGATAGCGGAGTCAGCGGTGACGATTACAGCCTCGCCTTTGTCCCACAAACAAATCAGATGTGTCAAATTAGCAAAAAGATTAAAACCCAAACATGAAAACATAATATAGACAACATAAAATAAAAATACAACAATAACGGTTATTTGTATGGACTTTAAAAACAGGCTGCAGGATGTTTAAGTTAAAGACTGAACTCTTGGGGTTATGTTGATTTATTTTCATCACGAAGATCATCCAGCTCTTTACCAGGTAGTTTTATTTCTTCAAAGACGTGACGTCAGAGAACACAGACAGACTACAGTTGCAGTGATGAGTTTGGTTCAGTTTGAGGACTTTCAGGAACAAATCAAACAACGGGCTGAAGTAGGAGTGAGGTGTTGTCAGGTGCTAACAGTGGTCCCCGTGTGAACAGGCCTTTGAGGACATCTACATGGAGCAGCGTCGCGTCATCAAGATCATCCTGGAGTACGCAGATCAGGTGTTCACCTACGTGTTCGTGGTGGAGATGATCCTCAAGTGGGTCGCCTACGGATTCAAGACCTACTTCACCAACGCCTGGTGCTGGCTCGACTTTCTCATCGTAGATGTAAGAACCTGATCAGTAACAGTGATTATTGGTAACAATTGATAACAATCATTTAAATCGAGGATAACATTTATAGCATTAAACTATCCTGAAACAAAATTCGGCTGTTTTAGTAACTCTGCTAAAATCCGAATCATTAAACGTTTTTTAAGATTCCCTGGTTTCTTAACTGCCACCAGATTTCAGGCTGATATTTACAGTCCCTAAAGTTTGATGATGCTGTGATAAAAGATATATTCATTATTCACCAAATGCAGCAGCTCTGATAAACTTCAACTCTCATTTATCTGTGACCTCAGTTCACTGGTTTCCACAGTGTGACATCATCACCAGGTGTGTTGTGTCTGCAGGTGTCTCTGGTGTCGCTGACGGCCAACATACTCGGATACTCTGAGCTGGGAGCCATCAAGTCTCTGAGGACTCTGAGAGCTCTGAGGCCTCTGAGGGCCCTGTCTCGCTTTGAGGGCATGAGGGTGAGACAAACCTGTCTGTCCTCACCTATCTGTCCTTACCTGTCTCCTTTGCTACACCTGTCTGTCCTCCCCTGTCACCCTGCCCTCACCTATCTGTCCTTACCTGTCTCCTTTGCTACACCTGTCTGTCCTCCCCTGTCACCCTGCCCTCACCTGTCTGTCCTCACCTGTCTACCTACCCTCACTTTTCTGTCCTCACCTGTCTACAGGTGGTGGTGAATGCCCTGGTCGGAGCGATCCCGTCGATCTTCAACGTTCTGCTCGTGTGTCTCATCTTCTGGCTGATCTTCAGCATCATGGGCGTCAACCTGTTTGCAGGGAAGTTTTATTACTGTTTCAACGAGACGTCGGAGGAGACGTTCCTGCCTGAGGAAGTCAACAACAAGACGGAGTGTCTGGCTTTGATTCAGGCGAACTTCACTGAGGTCCGCTGGAAGAACATCAAGGTCAACTACGACAACGTGGGGATGGGCTACCTGTCGCTGCTGCAAGTGGTCAGTGTGAACACCTGTGAAACACTGAGAGTCACTACACCAGAGGATCAACACACCAGAATAATAACATACTAATGAATCAGTACACCAGGGGATCAATGTCAGTCAGTGATTCTGATGTTCGAACTTTTATTTACTGCTGTTGACATGTTTTTCAGGCCACATTTAAAGGCTGGATGGACATTATGTACGCTGCAGTGGACTCCAGAGAGGTCAGTGGTACTGGAACTAGTCTACTGGTACTGGTGTACTGGTACTGTACTAGGACACTGGTTCTGGGACGAGTGTACTGGTACTGGTAATTATTCTAATACTGGAAGTAGTTTTCCTAAGCAATAGTCAGCCATATTAACCATTAACAGTCAATTATTAGTTGATTTATTTTTTTTTTTTTAAATTGTACTGATTTGAAGGAAAGTCAGTGAATGTTTTTCTTTTGATCACTTTTTAACATCTGACAGTTTTCTGTACAACGATCAGCAGGTTACTGAATTATACACTGAAAAGCAAGAGCTGCACCAGGAAATACCCTGTTCCACTTTGAAATGTTTTACAGCAGGTTCATATCACAATCATCCTCACAGCTGATCTACATGATACAGCTACTTCTTCACTGTAGTTAATCTGTAGTTAATCTGTAGTTAATCCATCTGCTGGAAACAGCTGCTCAACTGGAACAGGTGTTTCACAAAAACTGTCAACAATGTCTTTAAATCTATCAGCTTTATCGTGATGCTGCAGTGTTCATCTACAGCATCAGACAGCAGAGAGGTGCGCTCGTTTCATGAACCATTACAGTCAGTCAGCAAACAAACCAGTAACTCCACCTATTAAACAGCTTCACCTGGTGGAACAACTGGGTACTACAGCTAATCACATCCCTCATTTTCTGTCTTACCATCCATCCATCCATTATCTATACACCGCTTAATCCTCACTAGGGTCGCGGGGGGCTGGAGTCTATCCCAGCTGACTCAGAGTGAAGACAGGAGACACCCTGGACAGGTCACCAGTCTATCACAGAGCTACACTTAGAGACAGACAACCAAGCACACTCACATTCACACCTATGGACAATTTAGAACCACCAATTAACCTCAACATGTTTTTGGACTGTGGAAAGAAGCCAGAGAACCGGTGACAACCCACTGCAACCCGCTGCACAGGGAAAACATATAAACGCCACGCAAACCAGAGCTCTTGGTGATGGTGCTAACTACCGAGCCACCGTGCAGCCCCTCTTCTTTTAGTTTACGTTTCTCCTGTACTTTATATTTCATAATATTTTTCATGTTGTAAAGAAAAGAGAAATGATGATGTGAAGTGTTGGAGAGACGTGTCAGTCCTTATTTGACTTGTCTCTGGTTACCATGGTTACCATGGTTACCATGTTGCGGTGTAGGTGGAGTCTCAGCCGCTGTATGAGGACAACCTGTACATGTACCTGTACTTCGTCTGCTTCATCATCTTTGGCTCGTTCTTCACTCTGAACCTCTTCATCGGAGTCATCATCGACAACTTCAACCAGCAGAAAGCAAAGATATGTTTCTACTCCCGTCTTTAACAGTTAAAAGTTTCCAGCTTCAGCTGTGACAATAAAAATGGTTCTGTTCTCTAAGTTAACTGGGTTTTCTGTCTTTACTTGGGAGGAACAGACATCTTCATGACAGAGGAGCAGAAGAAATATTACAACGCCATGAAGAAGCTGGGCTCCAAGAAACCTCAGAAACCTGTTCCACGACCCGATGTTGGTTCACTTCTGCTTTATTAAAACCACGTAAAGGTTCTGGAGTGGCAGGACTTAATTCTCCTGTTTCTTTGCAGAATAAGTTCCAGGGTTTGGTCTTTGACCTGGTCACCAAACAGTTCTTTGACATCTTCATCATGGTGCTAATCTGCCTCAACATGGTCACCATGATGGTGGAGACGGACGAGCAGAGTGAGGAGAAAGAAATGATCCTGTACTGGGTCAACCTGGTCTTCATCGTGGTCTTCACCACTGAGTGCAGCCTGAAGATCATCGCTCTGCGGCAGCATTACTTCGCTGTCGGCTGGAACATCTTCGACTTTGTGGTGGTGATTCTCTCCATCGTAGGTGAGTCAGACTTCACAAAAAGCCAAAACCTTTTTTAATCACCTTTAAATTAAAGAAGACTTTTGCAACAAATGACAACAACAAACAATTTAATCTAAGAACAAACAATATTATTGAACAACAACAAACAATTTCATTTAACAACAAACAATTTCATTTAAAAAATAGACATCTTTTGATTTTCCTTGTATTTTTTTGTATAGCACATACTTGTTAAAACACGTGTTGCACAGTGCTTCATATTGGCAGCAGATGATTCAAGTTTAAAGGCAGGAAGAAACCGATTTATATAAAAACAGTGCAGGGTAGGAAAGACAAAAAGATAACAAATGAAATAAAATAAATTAAAACTCATGTAACATCAGGAAACATGTTTTTAAGAAGGGATTTAAACGACATTACAACTTCATTTAACAACAAAACGTCAACTGTCTTCCTTTCCTTCCTTCTTTCCCTCCTTCCTCTCCTCCTTCCCTGCCTCCTTGCTTCGTTCCCTTCAGGTCTTCTTCTCGCTGACATCATTGAGAAGTATTTTGTCTCGCCCACGCTGTTCCGTGTGATCCGATTGGCTCGTATCGGTCGGGTCCTTCGGCTGATTCGTGGAGCGAAGGGGATCCGGACGCTGCTGTTCGCCTTAATGATGTCACTCCCGGCGCTCTTCAACATCGGCCTGCTCCTCTTCCTCATCATGTTCATCTTCTCCATCTTCGGCATGTCAAACTTTGCCTACGTGAAGAAGGAGGCGATGATCGACGACATGTTCAACTTTGAGAACTTTGGGAACAGCATGATCTGCCTGTTCATGATCACCACGTCGGCCGGTTGGGACGGTCTGCTGAATCCCATCATGAACACGCCACCAGACTGTGACCCAAACTTCGAGAACCCAGGATCTCCAGTCAAAGGGAACTGTGGCAACCCGGGCGTGGGCATCGTGTTCTTCACCACCTACATCATTATGTCCTTCCTGGTGGTGGTCAACATGTACATCGCCATCATCCTGGAGAACTTCAACGTGGCCACGGAGGAGAGCGCTGACCCGCTGTGCGAAGACGACTTCGAGATGTTTTACGAAACTTGGGAGAAGTTCGACCCCGACGCCTCGCAGTTTATACAGTACAGGTGAGTCTGACCCGCACGGACAGCTTTGATTGACACTGTTCTCTAAGAACTTTGACAGGGAGGTTCTAGTGGATTCTAACAGACTCTGATGTGTTCCACAGTGAGCTGTCCACCTTCTGTGACACTCTGCAGGATCCTCTCAGGATTCCCAAACCCAACACCATCAAACTGATCCAAATGGACCTTCCTCTGGTTCCAGGAGACAAGATCCACTGTCTGGACATCCTGCTGGCACTCACTGCACAGGTAACCTACCTGAACTGATCCTATCTGATCTTATCCTGTTTTATCTTATATTAACTTATCTCACCTTGTGTCCAGGTTTTGGGCGATTCTGGGTCGATGGATGCTCTTAAAGCCAGCATGGAGGAGAAGTTCATGGCCAACAACCCCTCCAAGGTTTGCTCTATTCCATCACTAAGTTACCTTCAATCATATTTCATCTTTGGTTTTACAGTTAAACTATCATCATCATCATCAATCACCCACAGGTATCGTATGAGCCAATCAGCAGCACCCTGAGGAGGAAGCAGGAAGAGGTGGCAGCGACGGTGATCCAGAGGGCGTACAGGAAACACCTCCTGCAGCGAACCGTCAAACTGGCGTCCTACAAATACAGAGAGAAGACGGAGGGACGGCTAGACAAGCCGCCGGAGACAGAAGGACTTCTCTATAAACGCATCAGTCAGCTGTACGGCGACGACCAGACGGGTTCAGGTGAGGATCCTCCCCCTCGGGTGGAGCTTCAGAGCGAGTTTCTTCTCCATGCTGCTCCTCCAATCCACACCCCCAACTTCCTGCAAGACGAGAACCTGAGGGAGTCTGTGGTGTGATGACGACGGTGTCACTCTCTGAACTCACCTGTGGAGTGTTACCTGTCGGAGCAGACTCACCTGTCCGTTAGCTTCAGCTTCTGTACCGACTCAGCAGTGAAACTGAGACGTCGGCACAAAGTTTGACTGCAGATAAAAGTCTGCTGCGACGCGTTCGGTTCTCTGCTCTTCTTCTGGCTTCATATGAAAACGTTCTTTTCATGTTCTGTCTGTGCCGAGCTGTTTGGAGGTTTTACCTTCTAACAGAGCCCAGGTTTGTATGTGAAACTTACAGATTAACCTGTTTTAACTCCCTGCCGGGGTCATTACTAACACTTATTATCCAGTTTATCCAGTATTTTCTGTTGCTGATCAGGTGATGATTCCTGAGTCGGACTGCTTTGACCAGAAAAATCTATTGATGGACGTTTGAGGTAACGAATCCTGTGATGTTTCTTGTCAAATCTGCGAAAGTAATCTGCCGGAAATAGTTTAACTATTCAGACAGAATCACACGCGTCTTGGATAATTACACAAACCAGAGATTCTGTTTTCCCGTCTGACATGCTGAGCGAAGTTTGTTTCCTGATTCAAAAACAGAAACTATTCAGAAGCGCCTCAGTGAAGCCCGACAGAACCGACAGCCAATAAGATGGCGGCATCGAGGCAAACAGGCTGAAGGACGATTTTCTTTCTTATTTGAATTAAAATCTGAGCGCAGTGAACACCTGCTCCTGATGTCATACAGCAGTTCATCAGGCTCCTAAAGTGTCTCTACAACCACAAAAAAAAGATGAAACTTCAGAGAACCTGTCTCCATTCATGGTTCTCCACGTCTTCCTCTGATTGGTCGAGTCAGTTGCGGGTGTTTTCTTTGACTGAGGCTGTAACAAGTAAGCATGAGTGACGACGAGGTAAGCCAACCAATGAGAGCTTGGAATTATCCAGTTAACAGCCAATCAGCACTGCTTCGGACTGAAACTCAACCTGGTTTTCGACAGGTGACTGACGGTGAAGTCGACCAATAGGGAAAAGCTGTGACTGTGATGTAAGCAGAGGTGTAAAGCGTTTTGTCTTTGAGTCATGTGATATGAAAAAACAAAACAGCTGCAAACAAAATAGAAATAAAAAATGCTTCTGATGACAACAAAATATTTTTTGAGGATTTACATTAAGAAACCTATTAAAGATTGCTTTATTTGGAGCTCTCTTCCTCGGAGCTCTTTCTTTATTTAATCTTTCTTTCTTTCTTTCTTTATATATTTTTTGTTCTTTTATTTCTTTCTTTTGATTCATAACATCAGACTGAATTGATGTGAAAATGGTTCACATGTGGATTTAGTTTTGTTGTTTGTTGCACTGCTGCAAGTTTCCCCTGATGAAGAACATGAGTGATGAAGTTTCACTGCAGCCATTTATTCAGATTCTGGCTTAATTCTGTATTTGCATGAGTTTACTAAAACCCTGTCATGTTTGGGTTTTTTTCTTTGGCTCAACTGATAAATGTGTCCGAATTGATTTATTTTTTATTTGTAAATAAAGTTTTTTTAAAAATCGTTTTCGTGTTTGGGGAGATGGGAGGTTAATATTTGTGATGGCGTGAAGAAAAATGTGATTAAAACTGCAAACACCTGTTCATGCTGAGCTTAAAGTCAGAGCTGTCGGTGTCACGAAGATGTTTCTCTTTTAACCTGCTAGATCACCACGGTAACTGATGCTGCACAGCTAGATCACCACGGTAACTGATGCTGCACAGCTGGATCTCCATGGTAACTGATGCTGTGGAGCTAAACTGGTCTGGAAGAGGTTCTGTTTCCTTTTAACCAAATCGTTTTCTGATGATTCTCCCTGAGTGATTTAGATTCTCAACTGAGGGAATATATTTAATCTGTAAATCGGTTGAGCTGTACGCTACTGAAGCCACTGAATGAATTCGTGCAGGTACAGTATCACACACTGTATGCACCGTGTTGCCATGGGAACCAGACATGCTACTGGTGTTAATACTTACGCCTGTACATGTTCAGTCTGCAGTCACAGTTCAGATTTTCCATCAGACTGATCGGTTTTTATAGTTTTCTCTCAGACTGATCTGTCAGCAGAATTAATTCTACTTTAATACAACAAACACATCACTTCCTGGTAAACCTGTGACGCTGCTGCCAAAAGATGAGTTTAGCTTCAGTGCTGACATCTCATTAAAGTGTCTCCATTAAAACATAGCTGAGGTTGTAATTATGAGTAACAGTTTCGGATTACATGTGGCGTCTGTAATAAAGTTTCGTCCTGCGCTGGCTTTTTTTAAACTGTGTGCTGATGTCGCCCCCTGCTGGACGTCCTCTGACCTCCACTGTCAAACAGTTGCCTGATTCTCTGTTTGCACTTCAAACATCGGACACACCAGATGCCCCTGAACACATCAGATGGTTCACTTGAACTTATAATAAAACCAACTGAACACATGTTTCCCAGTCGAGTCCTTCCATCAGACATCAGCTCACTCTGTAAAGACACATCTGGACCTCCTGCTCTGCTGAACTCCAACAGACTGAAAACACAGCTTCACCTGCAAAGGTGAGCTGCTCGCTGTGAGTCATAATCACCATGGAGACCAAATGATGAAGATTCACGAGATTGCATTTGCTATTAGAGTGTAAATATTGAAACAACAAGAAGGTCAGACTGGCTCATACAGTTATAATACACAGACAGATCATTAATAAAACAACCAGATCAACACGAACACACTGTTAATATACAACTAGGACACTGTTACCTCTGAAACCACAAACACAACTCACAACAACATTTATGCAACAAACAGAACAAATACATGCGCTGAATATAACACAGAGACATCATCAACCTCTTTATTAACAGGATTTTAATGTCGCTATATTCAAACATCCACTTAAAAAGCTGCTCTGGATCCAGATGTTTTAG